CCACTATCCCCTTCTCTTTCGCTAAGTGGTTTTTTGGTCAGGCTACTAACGTTTTAAGGGGGTCGACGAAATGAGGGATATATGTATAGTGTAACACAAAAAGGATGGCAAAGGGGGAGGCAAAGTGACAGGCTTTGTATCTCCATTTAGTGCAAATTAGGAGGGACAACAACATTTACTGAGGTGAAAAGCCCCCTCGACAGATTTTCAACCTAATTGAACTGTTCAATGGTGGCTGGGGGGAGGAAAAAGGGTAGAGACAAAGGATAATGAGCGGGCAAAAAGGATAGTAAGGTACTGAAGCGAGGAAAATGGAGTAGGCTTAAGTTGGATAGGCATGAAAGCGTTAGGCAAAAGGTTTCCCATCAATTTAAGTTTTAAGAACATGTGACAACTTGAAAAGTTATGAAACTAAAATTATTTCCTTGAAAACCTATTTTAAAGTTTTGAAAATATAGCTTTGCAAATCAAAATAGATCGCAAAAGTTATATTAAACTTTTGAATCAGAACTCACAAATACTTATTGCCAATGTTTAAAGACAATCATTAAATTTAACACTGATACACACCTAAACGTTTGATGCAATGAAATAAAGTCGAATTCCCTTCGAAACATGACATTTCGTTGGCACATGTCATTGCACCTGCAATTGTTTTGTCCCAACGCACAATCTAGCAAATACAGGACTACACTCTCGCAATCCATTAACAATTAGCCAAATGTGAAACGGCTTCATTTCCATTATCATCAGCGCTTTTCCTCGACCATTTTTCCCGACCAATTCAAACACCCACCTGGCGGCCACTCTACAAAATCAACACGAAAAGCCAGAAAACTGGAAAACCAGAGCACAGGTTGCAACTGTTAAAGGTGATTGCTGCTCTTGTTGTTGTTTTTGGCTAGCGATTAATGGAGGAAAATACACAAAATGTTTTATCACTCATACGCCACATGTGCCGGGGAAAAAAGAGAGATACGACGCCTTTCAGAGCGAGACAAATGTGTCCCCAGTGCAAACAAAACGCCTACGTTAATTACACTGGCCAGCAAAAGCCGCAGAATAAACGAACTTTAACAACTAAAGCAAACTGTAGCTTCGGCTGCGTGTGTTTGCTGTTTTTGTGTGAATTGAAAATGACTCACTTCAAAAGCAAACGAAGTAAAATCGAAACACACACAAAAAAGTGCAAACGAATTGACCTTTAAAAGAGAAACGACAGGAAAACAAAAACCATAAAAAGCACCTGGCAACACTCTTGTGGCCAAGACAAAAGCGAACCACTAAAATTCAATCATCTTTGGAAGAAGCTGTAAAATAAGGCGGACGGAAGAAGAGGAAATCCAGAAAGAGAAAGGTTGAGTACGAAAAAAAAAAGACAACAATATCTGGAGATAAAAACCCGTATATCTTTGAGAATAAGCTGGAGTATTAAAGATACATTTTTAGACTCGTGATATCTTTTTATAACATAATCTCTTTATAACTTGTTTCTTGAATTCATGTATTTTGTATTTGGAACTATATCTCTTAGAAGTTAAAAAAAAAACATTACAGACAAAACCGCAACACCCATCAAAATCTTTTATAATTGTGAGCCTCAAAATGCGGGACATAAATAGCAATTATTGCGTCAGTAACAGAAGCATAATTGAAATGCGTCACTTTCCAATGACTGTTGTTAAAAAAAAACTTATCTTTAAAATGTTTGTGAAAAATTAACATAATCCGTAGTCTGCTTTAAAACCTCAGGGGGAAAGGCCTCTCCCTCTCGTATTCCCAATAGGCACTCTCAATTTGATTAAATCGCCCAACCACATTCATGCCACGACGTTGACTCACTTTTATAAAAAAGTTTCATCAGCAGTCGCGTCACTTGATCGGGCATATATGTACTTGTGTATCTATCTCTCTTGTTTTGTCAAACAGTTGACATAATACTTTCTGTACTTTTTTTTCCACAAAACTGATAAGTTAAAATACTTTTTTTACTCTAGTTAGGTTTATGGACATTTTGTGCTATCGCCGGGGGCTGACTTAACTCGATATTGTTATCGGGGGAGAACGCGCCGGGGGCTATTTTTGCCATCCCTGCTCGCTTACTTTCGACGATTTCTCATATCATTCATTGTAAATTCCAGGAATTCGCCATTATTCGTTTGAAGTTTATTAGATTAGAAAAAATGGCATTTGTTTGGACTGTAAGCTATGAGTTTCTAAACTGGGGAAAAACACAATCTCTCTTTAAGTGTTTTGCAACAAATGGCAAGTGAATTTCCCATAAAAAGGAAACTGTAAACTTGATGGTCATTCGAGCCTTTTTGTGGTGAGGAAAACCAAAGAGCCTTGACGAATCTATACTATAACTTAAATTTGATATTTTATCTAAATGGCATTTCATTTTAATGTAAAGTATTGTGTTTCAACGAAATAGAAATGGAAAAGTCATTATAAAAATGGGCAAAGTTATAATTTTATTTATTTTAGAATATACGTAGTCATGTTTATTCCCTTCTTTGTCTAAGTTTTAGTTTGAATGTGTTTTCTAACCTTATTTTTTAAATGACTGCTTTGACTCAGTTTTATATTTACATTTCTAATGTCTAATATATACAACATTTGTTATTATTTGCACATTTTTTACGCCTGTCACTCAAGAATTTTTATTACAATTTTTTTGTGTAATTCTATAATGCGTTTTATTTCGATGGATTTGCATTTTTGAGCACGTACAAAAGTTCGCACCAATGCTCACAACACAATAATACCAAAAAGAAAAAAAAAAAGGAACGCATGGCAACCCCCGCGGTATATATAAACGAAAAAGTAGCAACTTGACTAACAAATTGTTCTGTCCAATTCTGCTCCTTTTTCCTTTGGGCCAGGAAGTCAACACCGCGCGATAAGTGCAAAGCAAAGCGAATACAAGTGTAGATAGGGGATGGATAAAGTGGGTGGGCAAAAGGGAATATGTAAATCCTGAAATTGCCAACAAACCATAAAAAATGCTGCGGCCAAAAAGACATAAAACAGATGAGCCGGGCAGAAGCAATGGAAAGCTCCAAAAATGCTAAAAAGATGAAGATGAGCAAGTTGAACAGGTGCAGAGAGAAAAATGCTCTATCTATTACACAAAGAATATTATTACTGTTATTAAATTTTTGTCTTTTTAATTTAAATTTTATAATTTAAGGTTTCAAATGAAAGTATACAGTAAGCATTAGAAAACAATGTCATACAAGTATGATAGATGCATACATATAAGGTGCTTATCTCAGTGTAAAAAATGAGAGGGTGGGTGGGTGTTGAGGTCACAAGAGGGTATGCTTCAGCTGTTTAAGGACATGTGCCGAGGTGAGAGTTCACAGTTCTTCGCTCACGTTCAGCATCTTTGCTTTTTATTCCCTCTTCTTATTTAGCTGTTTTTCCTTATATTTTTTTTTACAACTTTTACTTTGTTAAAGAAATAAAACAAAGAACAAAGTGAGCTTTTTGGGGTGTCGGGGGTGGCGAAATAATCCCCTAAGGCCCTGGGCCAGGTTAACGATGTTGTCTGCTCGCCTCGTTTTTGGGGCGTGGGCCGAGAAGAGAGAAAAGGATATGAAGAAAAGAAGGAGGGTGCAATGACTGCAACTTGTTCGCAGAGAAAGTTTCTTGAAGCTGTTAAGAAATTTCATTGTTGCCCATTTTCGAGGGTTGTTTTCGTGTCTCACTTTGCTTTCTTTATTCTTCTCTTCCTATTCGGCGAGACAAAGAATAAAAAGGAGCAAACGGAGGAGAGGCACAAGGATAGGGTGCACAAACAAAGCCACCAAAAAATGCCAAAAATAAAGTTGCCCTCTTTATCGCACAACCAAACACTACTACTATTGCAAACGCCGAAAATAAAGGCTTAACCTTGGACTTCACAAGCTCAACCGGCACTTCGACCTTAAGGCGGGGCTATGGGACAGAAAGGGGGTGCCACAAGGGGGAGGGGCCGGTCGGCAGCCTTAATCAGTCGTTGCCTCGTCGGTTTCATATCAGACAGTACTCTTTGAGGGAAGCTAAATTACACTGACAAATATTCAAGTGTTATTTGCCCTTCGGTTTTTAAGTTTTTTCTTCCGCAACAAACCGTTTCGATAGAGTAATGCTGTTACATGTGAGAGTCATTGTGTATTGTGTATTTCATAAAAATTAATTTTTTTTCTGTGCACAAGTGAAGCGAGGGGGCGATTGCACTCTACACAATGGTGCATGGCACGACCATCTCTCACACAAACATGTGTGTGCCCACAGCAATCTGAATCAAACGATTCGAGGGCTGACTAATTCAAAGGCTACTTGATTCGATAAGCGCTAACAAATTGCACGAAAAATAAAACAAAAAAAAACCATATGCTTTCATTAAGAAATCTGTCGCAATATGTGCACACTCAGCAAAATTCACATAGTTCTAGTGACAATAGAGATTTCTAAAAATGATTAAAATAATTAATAAATATTATCACTCAATTACAATTAATGAAGAAAAACACGATAATTTTTGTTCCTCCGATATTCAAAAACATCACAATGAAAAGAATCAAACAAGAGAATACAAACGGGTAATTCGCAATGAAAAGTGAAATCAGCTGGTTTTCTTGTTATTTGCCGCTCTTCTCTTTTGAATGGTAAACTTTATCTTGACGTTTGGCATTTATCACTTAATTCTGTTTTTTATGACGCTGTGCAAAATAAGTGGCTAACCTTTAATCGGTGGCGAAAAATTCTACACAAATTTTGGCACACACACAGAGTAAGCTTATTTAATTATACACGCCACAAAGAAAGGGAGAAGAGAAAGAAAACGAAAAATTGTATTTAAAATGTTCGAACAAACAAACAAACAGACATTGAACTTTAAGACAAATTTTCTGTGTGTGTGGGCGCCTTATTCTTTTCGTTCTTTTTGTTATTAATTTGAGTATGTGTCTAATTTAATATTATTTTGCCTGGGGCAATTTGGTTTTATTTACTTTTTTTCTGTCGGCTTCTTTAGCTGATTCTCTTCTGGTGCCTCCTTTTCTTCTTCTGATTCTGCTCCCTCTTTTTTTTTTACTATTTTCTAGGAACACGCACACTGGCACACCGGCAAAAACACACACGCACACACACTGGTGTGTTTACAAACTTTTGCGACGTTTTCAAGTGCGACGCTGGCAGCAACGTCGGCAGCGACGTTGACGTTGGCTTAAACTATTTTGTTCTCCGTTCCCTCTCGCTGTTCGTTGGTTTTTGTTGTTTTTTTGCCAACGCTTTAATAACTTTCTATTGCTATTTTTATATATTTTTGATGCAAACGCACACACACAGAGGAAGACGGACACGTACGCGCTCTCTTTCTGGCTATAATTTAATATTTTTGCTATAATTTATATTTTTTTTGTTTCGTTTCGTTCGTCAGCTTTAAGCTCACATACACACACAATCATATGGCGACACAACACACGCAAAACTAACGATGCAAACGAGACGGTGACTACAGTTAAGTTGTTGTTGTTGCGAGAGCAGCTGATCTCAAAAACGGGAGGAAGTAAGTGGGAGGAGAGAGTATGAAAGTCTCTTTTTAACTGGACAAACTTCCCGTTCTGCGAACGACACAGCGAACTAACCGCGACAAAAATTAAAATCAAACTGTGAATGTGAAGCGAGCTGAAAGCGGAATTCAAACAACGCTGCGTCGACGGCGGCAGCGGCAGAGGCAGCGCAGCAGAAGGCATGCGCAGAGAGAGAGAGAGAGAGAGAGGGTCTGATGAATGAATGAACGAGGCGGGAATGCGGGCGAAACGGAGAGAGCGGCAATGGCAAATAGTTGTAGAAAAGCGCCGGCAAGCGGAACTCCTCTCTGTCTCTCTCTTTTTCCCACCCACACCCCTAGCTTACCGGAAAAAGAAATTTCATATGCGGCGGGGGTGTATTTTTCCCCAAAAGAGAGAGTGTGAAATATCAAAATGGGAGAATGAGAGAGAAAGAGCTGCTGTTGACGTCAACGTCTGAGTCAGTGCTGCCGGCGTCTCTGCCGCAGCCTCTGCCGCGCCGCAAAGCGCCACCACCCAAAAAAAGCCGAGAAGAAGAAAAACAAACACAACCAAAATTCGCACAGTGGAGCTTGTGGCAAAAATGTTACTTCATTCATCATTTGCTAGACGCGTTTCGCTCTCTCGCTCGTTTTGCCAATTTTGGTATCTCAATTTTCCCTTCTTTTACGCTAATTTACTTAGATTGCAAGAAACCCAATAGGAGGAATACAGTGGTAAATGGAATCTTGTATAACAAGTTTTTGCAACAAAAACGATCAGGTGTAATATGGTACCAAAAAATATTTTTTGTAGGTAAACTATAAGACTGGACACAAAAATAATGAACCTTAAAGTGGAATTTTGCCAAACTAATTTATTAGATAGGGATAATCCACTGTACAAATCTATGTTAGTATGTACGGATGTATGTATGTATGTATGCATAAGTAGTTTTAACAAGTGGTTTTTTTTTGGTTGGCGGCACCGTGAGAAACAAATTTGAGTGGCGGCTGTCCGCCATCCACTGTCTTCTATTAGCCAGAAATTTTTTTAACACCCCCAAAAGTCACCAGCTGATGAGCTGGTCGTCAATTTCTTTTGCCTTTTTATCTTTTTCGGCTTTTGGACGAAATTTTGTTTGCCGCTCGTAAAAGTACAAAATAAACCGGGAAAACTCAAGCGATAAGTAAAAACTATTAAATTGGCACCATGTCCTCAAAAAAAGCATTAAAAAATATAATGTTAGCCACCTGTCTGCCTTGAATTATTTTTCACGATTTATTGTAGAGCACAACACTTTAAAGTGTTTTCAACTCATAAATAAATATAGTAAAATTTTTTCTATAAACTTTTGGTTAGCCCACTTTAAGTAATAGTGAAAAATTTAACATGATTTTTCGCTAACTCACGAAGTTTAGAAAAACCAGTTTACAGATGGTTATCCATACTGGAATTGCCCATAACTCACCGCAAATGAATCTTTGACTTTTGAGAATGCTTCTGCTGATTGATTGACAATTACTTAATTGATAAATTGGAAACGAGGAGGGGGAAAATTTCCATCAAATAATTACAAGATACCGTATATTTTTTGTTTTTAAATAAATATAATCGATTTAAATTTTTGCATTTACGATGCTTAGAGTTAAGGAAAACAATCTATCTAGAAACCGATTATTCAATAAATTTATGTTTTATTATTTCTAAATGTTATTATGCATTTATGTTTTTACGTTATGCATTATGTAAAGTACAACAATGCAACATATCATGTCTTTGATAATAATGTGCAAAAAATACTACTGAAACAAAGAAAACGAGTTTAAGAAAGCAATTTCAATGGAGAATAGCAATTTTATGGCTTTCATTTTATTCGCGTTAGGAAAGGGCTGGCTGAATAGAGGGGCGAGGGACAAAATGTATCAGCTGATAAAAAGCAAAATGCGTTGGCAAAAAAGAAAATCTTGTATGTGGGTTAAGAGAAAAGGACGGTCGAGAAGGGGCAGGGGAAGATGAGGGAACAACCATGATAATAGCAAAACAAACGAAACAGAGAGAGAAGCATTATTATAGAGCGGGAGGGCGATAGCCGGGGGAATTTTCAATTGAAAACGAACGCGTATAAATGCGCCCATATGGAAAAGGCACACACACAGTCATGTGGGGGAAAATTGCGACTTTGCCTGCCTTTTTATCGGCTTGCGGCATCTTCCCTCCTTCTCCTCTTTCTCTCCTGCATTTTCATGCTGGTCTCGCAGTCGACGTCAACGTCAACGCCAAAGCAGCGGGGTGTGAATGCGGTAAAAAAAATACACATATGGGATAGGTGGGCACAGACGAGGTCACAACTACAGCATACTAAAAAAAAACTCGATTGATAATATATCAGAATTAATTTATGAAAATATTACATGTCTCACCGGTCTTATCTAAAAATTACACGCATTAAATACAAATAAATAATAACAACATGTATTTCATGTACATATATGTTATTTTTTTTTTTAACGGAACTATTCCGATGGCAGCAATTGTTAATATTAAATACATTATCACTGGCGTCGCGATTACAGTAATAGCAGCGAAGTCGGCAGAAGCATCCCCCTCTATCCTTGTCTCCCTCTTACCAGTGACGCAGGCAGCATCTTCTGTTGGAGCTGCTGCTTCTTCTTCTTCTTGTTCTAATAGCATTTACTGTTTGTTCAACTGTTATGTGAGTTGGACTCCAAGCTGTTTTTTTTCGTTTTATTGGACTGTTGCTTGTGTGTTCCTAGTTTTCCTTCAACTTTTACTCCCATCCTTCACCTCCCATTTACCATCTCCGATTTCCATTCCCATTATGGATCCACATTGTTTAATTGTACACTTTAAAAAACAAAATACATTATTGGGAAACTGAGTGTAAATACATACATATGTAGAAATTTAAAAATTGGAATGTGGTCGCAATACGACAATAAAAAAACCTGGTTTTATTAAAAAATCTTAAATTTAAAAAAAAATTATTTAAGTGTATTTCTTTTGGTGCAAATTTATACACATACATATGTACATCCATACATACTCGCATTTCATTTGTCTTTCTTCTATTTTCATTTACATTCGTTTGCAGGTCGTCAAGAAATTAAATGCTCATTATTTGGCCTTTTTCACTTCCTTTTATTTTGTTGCCTCCCCGCGGTTATGGTTTATTCATTATACGTTCGTTTTTCTTATCAGTCCAACTACTTTCTGGCCCTCTCTTTTTGCCTCCCTTTGCCTTTTGCACCAGAAATCTTTCACTTCCCTTCTCTTGCTCAAAGTTTTGATGTCAGTTACTGTTGGTGACGTCGACTGCGACGTTGGCAGAAACGCAGGCAGCCGCAGAGCCAGAGTCGTCAGCAGCATCAACGTCTCATCAATTTGCGGCACTTTGGCCGCTGACTGTCCGTTTTACCATCCAACACTGACTAAACATTAAACCACAAAATCCAAGCCCACCCTAAACACCCACTAACAGCAGTGGTAACAGTAATCGCATATTTCACAAAAACAAGCTAAAGTTATTGGCTATTTTCTACCACATTTGGTATTATGGAAACAATCAGTTGTTTATAAAAATTCAACAGTAAAATCAAAATAAGAAATATTGAAAAATGCTTGACCCACCTTAACTTATAAGAAAGTCTATGATATTTGGGATAATTAAAGGAATCTTTTATTATTCCTAATGGTGAATAGAATTAATATGATCCATACAAACTAACTACATATTTTAAATAGCTGCATTCATGGATATCAGAACAATAAAATTGTCCTCGACTGTATTGGTTAAACATTTTTATTATTACATGTCGCCTGTCAATCGCTAGCAATTGTTGTTGTCAACGCCGCAGCGGCAGAGTAAAATTATCGCAGCAGGAAATAAATATAAATGAGTATCCAAATAAATATATAAGCAAACATGTGCGAAAAAAGGGAGTTGCTGATTGGATATTAAGAGACCGTGTGTAGGCTTGTGGAAGTTCAAGATAAAAGCTTTAACGTTGATGACCAAGCTCCCATTAATGGAGCAATATTTATCAGCTTGCACACATTTTCGTTTGCTATGCTCTGTTTCAGATAAATGGTTAAATAAATAAGAAATTCTGGGAATATGGTATACCAATGCATTAAATAGTGAATTATAACATTTTTGTTTGCCAGAATAAACACTGTTAATAATAATAAACTTTATGAAAGCCATTGCCTTTTTAAATAATCTAAGATATAAGTTCTGTTGTTTTTCAAATAAAACAAATACCTTTCTAATTATCTTTCTTTTTAGTTGCAAACGTCTAAAAATAATACTAACGTCAATTGTTAGAGGATGTAGTTTATATTTGGCCGAACAATATACAAATGATTTGTTACTTGCCATATCGGAACAAAATGTTAAGGGAAAAACCTATGCAACAAGTACGTTTTTTTGTGGGCGTTTCTTATCGATTATGGATTTTTGTTTGCCTTTGGTTTATTTTTGGAAAATACGCGATAAGAGTGAATGAATTTTAGATAAACACATCAAGAGTTAACAGATTAACCGCATTTAATGGAAAACTACGAAGCCAATTGTAGGCGTTAACAAATGAGATAAAAAAAAGGAAAAGGGTTAGCGGAATCCATAAAAATGTACAACTCAGCCTTGACGTTGACTTTGTGAACTTTGAATTTGCCAGGACAATCCTGCGGTAATACTTGGCCATTAAGCAGGCAATCCGAAAGGCTTTTCCAGCTAGCTTTCCTCAAAGCCCCTGCCCTTTTCCGCCCACACACAAGCAGTAAGCCACCTTAAGACGGAGCCGAGCTGGAATGTATCCATCATAATCTCATTATCCCAACTCCGGGCGAAAATTTCCAAGCACAAAAAAATATAGGGGGAGAAACTCTTGGCAAGTTACGGGAAAATATGCAAAGCAGAAAATTCCGCATAGCTAAAATGAGAGCAGCGGCGTTCTCCTTAGTTTTAAAGCAGAATTTCCACAAATTCCATTTCATAATCCCTCTTAAAATCTCCTCAGGACTACGCCCCAGAATGTCAGGAGGGGAAGTGTGCCATGCAGCGATGTTCAAGTGTAAAATGTGAATAAAATACCTGAATT